AAGATGTCCACAGAAAAGCAGGTCAATGACAATTACTCCCAGAGCCCTGGGAAACCGGGGCACCAGGAAACCTGTATTCAGTTCTGGGCTCTCCTGCAGACTTCTGCCGTGACCTTGGACTCGTCATGTAACTTTACTGCCCTTGTTTTCTCACTATTAAGTAGAGCACATATTGAATAGGACTCAATTTATGAACATGTGTAAAAAGCGCTTTGACAGCCTGGGGTAAAAGTCAATTAAGACAGGGCAAGCAGTTGATGGGCCCAACCAATTACTAAAGTAAATGATTCACAAACATACTTTTCTTTTTGAGAGTGTCATTAAACCAAAAGAGATTTGCAAATTATTCACCTGTTTCTAGAGGCTGAATAGATCATAGGTAGGGGAAAGGTGGGGAATCAGGCAACCAACAATGCTTTAAAAACGTTTGAAAACCATGTAGAAGACAAGGCCTTTGGGGGCATGGCCAGGTGCCAGCAGGAACAGCAAGTTTTGGAAAGGTCGGCTGGTGTCCCTCTCCATCCTCGATAGACCTTCTTCCCTTCTGCAGATTTTCCCTGTGCTGAGAAAGTTGACATCGTTCATCTCAGCTGAGCCATGAGTTGTGCTCATCTGTGAGAGAGAGGGAGGGCAGGGGCTGCCCGTTCAACTTTCCGGAGCGAACACACCGCCTCCCGCAGCGCCCGCGGGGCCGCCGCGGCCGGGCCGGGCCGCGCTGGGCTGGGCCGGGCCGGGCTGCTGCGGGGACAGCGGCGTGGCCAGCAGCAGGGCCGGCCCAGCCACGCCCGGAGCGGCCCGGAGCAGAGCAGCACGGCCCGTTCAGCCGTTCCCCGACGGCGGCGGCCCGAGCCGCCAGCCGCGGGTGCTGCGCGGCCGCCCGGAGCGGTGAGTGCGGCGGGCCGGGGCCGGGGCGGCGGGCGGCTGGAGGAGGCGGGGAGGGGAAGGACGGCTGTGCTCGGAGGTGTACCGGAGCGGACGCCGGTTCGCGGCAGTGGGGGGCACATCCCTCGGCTTCCCATCCTTTGCACCTGCTCGTTCATCTCTCCCCCCCGTGACCGCCGTCTCTGGCGGGGCTCTCTGCCGGCATCCCTCCGGGAGCTCTCCCTGAGCCCAGGTCCCAGGGAAGTTGGTGGGTGCCGCTCGCTGGAGCCGCTCCCCTTCATTCACCGCCGGGCGCTGTGGTCCCCTGCGCCCGGGACCGGCGCTCCGGCTGCGGCTCCGCGCCGGCTCCCAGCGACCCGAGAGGATGTGCCGCCAGGGTCTGAAACACCAAGTGCCGTCGCTCTTGGTGTTTATCTGTACTCCGATATTTACACAGTAGTTAAATTGCTGTTTGGGTTATTTTACTTTCTGGTGGTTGTTTTACACCGTGTCCTGTTGCAAAGGAGACAAAACCCCAGCTGTTCTGTCAGAAGGAGATCTGTGCTGTTATTTCATAATTGCCTCAGAATTGCAAATCATGGCCTTAGTCTGTCACTGGATCTATGCCAAAGGACTCTTGCATCTATTAAGGATGGGTGGTTGTTTGGGTTCTTTTCCCTTTTTTTTCCTTTTTTTTTTCTTTTCTTTTTTTGGGTCAAGAGTTGAGAATAATGGCTTTTTATTGGCATGGGCTCTACACATTAAGTTACTCCAGCCCATGTCTTTAAGTGAACACACGATGTAACTGTTCTAAGTAGTCAGTCTGATTCACAGAGTCAAGACATTAAATCTTGGCTAGTGACAATGAGAATTGTGTCCTGCTGAAAAGTATTCAGCTGCACTTCTTTGCGTGAGCTGAAGCAGTTTCTCATTGTTACTTCAGAAGTTCCGATTCTGCCCAGAATGGCTGTTGCTTTTTGTGGGTAACAGACACATGGAAAATAGCAACCTTCCGGCTTCAAACTAAACAATATCAGATTAATGACAGAGAAGGGCTCTACGGATCAGAGATGCAGTCACTTGCAGAGCCTTAATTTGTGCCAGCACTTGGTTTGTAATCACAGAGGCTAGATCTGCCCTACCCTACTATGCTGTGCAGTTCTACCACTCACGATGGTACCACTTGGAGTAAAAAGTGTGGTCCTGCCAGCTATCCCCTTTTCCAAGGATGCTTTGAGCTGCAGGAGCAGGAGGAAGTTGAGGCAGACTGCTGCCGTGGGGTAGAGAAGCTAGGCATGGCTGTGCCCCTCAAGGCAGGATCATCTCTAAGCTGTGCCATCAGGGCACATTAGAATACCAACTAAAATACCAATTTGGTCTGTCATTTCAAAGGCTGGGCCCCTCTGCATCCTCCCTTCCTATGGTGATGTTAAGTATTTCTCCATGCTGCAACATGTATTTGCCAGCTCTTGGAAAAGACGGATCTTTCAGGGTCTGCCAGGCTGTGTGTATCAGCTGGCATATTACAGTACTATATTGTTCTTTAGATGCATAACTTCACTGGCCTCTTATGACCTAAAAAGCACACAGAAAATAAACAAGGGCATATTGTTCAGTGGGAAGGATGCAGAAAGTTCTTCTACGTTAGCTGTTAGTTAGGGGAACATGACTTTTAAGTGTTTCTCCTGATTGTCAGAAGAATGACATGGCACATGTGAGCTTGTTTTTTGCCAAGCAAGCTCTGCTTGGAAGGTGAGGCATTTCTGAACTTCTTGGTCACCTTGGAACTAGTTACTAGTGCATAGCAAAGTCCTGCCCAAATCTTCTCCTCTAATTAATTTGGCCAGAGGCCATCCTAATTAACCTTGAGGGAGTTCAGGGGTGGGAGAGCTTGGTATGAAACAATTGTTCTCTTGTAATTTGCCGTTCACAATGTGTTGACCAAGCTACAAGCTACATCTCTAAAATCCTCTGGGTCTCTTGCTGAAGCCATTACACCAGTTTATTTGTTTTTTAACAGATGTTGTTTTCTAATCCTTGAGTGGAAGGGTTATCTTGCTTTCTGCAATCTTGTTATTGTGCTTTGTTGCAAGGGCAAGTGGGCTTGGGCTTGCTGGGGAAACTTACTCACCAGTTCCAGCAGTGAAGGAAGGGGTTGGTCAGCCTTTCAGCAGTCCTGATGTGATTGTTAAGGTCTCTGTGTGAACTGATGGCATCTTTTCACATTTACCTAGAAATAACCCTCAGTTCTTCTGGTGCTGGCAGTGCCTGCAGCGAATGAAAAGCCGCAGGAGGAGCCTCTTTGCCCAAGAGTATTAAAGTTAGGATATTAATGGAATTTGTCAGCCATAACTTGGACTGTCTCAAATGGTGGGGCAAGGGAAAAAATCTGAGATAGTTGAAAAAAAAACGTTAAAGGCTGGGTTCTGCTTTTTGAAAATGTTCATAGCACCCTGCAAGTCACTAAGAGCGTGATGAAGGGGAGAAAAATGAACAGCTGTTTCTGAAATTTCAGGATGGTCCATCTTCCCCTTGTGATGATGACTGCTCACCTTGTTGGTCAGGGGGCTTATCTGTGCTCAGGAAGCGGGTCACCCTTCACCAGCCTGGGCTTACCTTACTGGTGGGCAGGCCTGCCCAGCACACACAGTTCTTCAGCAGCACAACATTGATTGTGTGTAGCCTTCTCAAGCATCTGTCTAGTTTTTTTCTATGCTAGTGCATGAAAACGCTATTTTGACATTTATTTTCTGGTGGAGCGAGGGGTCAGGGGGAAATCCTGCTGAGACTACCAGTCAGGACACACAGATCCAAGAAAGAAAGATCAAAGGCGTCTGTAATACAGGAAGAAGCAGAGGGTCAGTCCGGAAGAGAGGGCATTTGATTATATGTACAAGGGTAATATAAGGGGTGTAACACACAGGAGAGGATGGTGGTGTCCGAAAATGAGTAAACAAACAGATGTGTAAGACTGTACTGAGAATTTATTTACTCCAGAAGACACAATCCTTATCTCTTTGAAAGAAGAGGACCACACCAACCTTGGAATGCTTTTGCTCCCAGCCACATTTGTGAGCAGGAGAAAAGTGTTTGTTTATGGATCCCTCCTCCGTGAGTCCTGGCCTGATGGGCCGGCCTGTCCTGCTGTGATTAGTAGGATGCTAATGTGTGTAATCCTTTTGATCACGGAGCCCAGGCTCTATAAGTCATGTCACTGTCACCTCAAAGAAGTTCAGCCATGTGATAGATCCCTTATTAAAAATTTTTGCTTTGACAGATTTAATACAGTTATTGAGATCCTTTTTTCCTTTTTTTTTTTCTTTTGTCTTGTACAGATGGAGAGTTTTTTCTATTAAAAAATACAAAAAATAATGCTTATTCATGAAGTTCTGATGTGGGAGTATCTTATTAGGACTTTGCCCATAGGTATTTTAGGTGGGATGATTAGCCCATAATATCTTGATTTAAGATGTGAGCAACAAATGTGATTCCCTGTGCTTTGTTCTGTCAGTGTGAACTGCTCCATACAAAACTGTAAACAGCATGGAAACATTAATCTGAGTCCTAAAAAACATTCTCTTCTGCAGTTCCTTTTTGGGAGGCAAAGAGTTGACTAATTACACTTCGTGTAATAAATGTACTATTTTGCTCTCCTGTTGTGACAGACAAAAGCTGTCATTTGAGGAAATACACCATATGCTGCCAATGGGTGTAAGGACTGGTTATATCTGGAGCACAGAGCATCAGTGAGTGCTCTTTAACAATTGCTCCTTCTCTGAAAAAAATCTGGGCCAATTTCAGTGGACTAATGTGCTGGTCTATCATCAGTGAAAGCCAGCTGTTGACATTTTGAAAACCAGCTAATACAAACAGTGGTATCTGTGCATGCTTGGACATATCCTCTCTCCCTGTTATGTGTTTACATCTCTTTGGATGCTGAAGAGCCTCAGCCTATCAGTGCTCAGTCAGGCCTGGATTGGTCCATGGCAAATTTAAAAATCAAACCTATTTCAGATACCAACTCCCACCCATGCATAGTCAGACATGTTTTTCAGCACTGTGTGAACCCAATACTCAAACACCCACATTACTTAAAAAAATAATCTCTTTCTGTACCATTTTTTCTTGGTGAATGTGAGAAAGCAGAGTCTGAAACCTCCTAACAAAAAGCAGCACCTGAAGAGCAGCCGTCACTCGTCAAGATCTGCCCCAGGAGATGCTGTGCACTCTCTCTCATGCCGTGGTGGGTTTGCAGAGGCATCTGCACCGGTGAGATACAAGACAGGAATAACTACCTTCTGAGAGTTAAATAAACTCTTCAAGACTTGTTCCTCTCATCCTTCCCACTTCCTAATTTTATTGGAGACACATTGTATCATTAATTTGTTCTCTGGCACAGTTCCTCCAGGATTTCAGTGAGGTCTTTTTGCTCAAAGAATGCAAAGAGGATGTGAGCTGTAATTTTCACTGTCTGTGAACCTCTGTGTTAGAGAAAAAATGTGAACTCTCCTGCCCGCAGGTAATGAGAGTTGAACACAAAAATTCACATATTTCTTTTTAATTTCTTTGAGGTGAATGGGAGGGACTGGCCTGGGAAGACACGAGAACCAACATAAAGTTGGCTTATCTTCAGCAAAGACTTTGGCACGTCTTGCTCTCATGTAGTCTGCAGAGATGATTATGCATGTAGCACTAGCAGCTTTGAAGCCTTCAGTACAGCACTGGCTGCAATGGGAAGTTTATTGAAGCTTTGCCTGGTGGGTATCCATGGTGTGATCAGAGTCCTTTGGGCAGGACCCCATTCTGGTCCCTCTGCTCATCTGCTGCCTCTTCTCTGCTCGGGAGCCTTCAACCCGTGGTGTGCGTTTTGTGTCTCAGCCTCCCTGTCCCTCCCATCCCTGGAGGAGAAGCAAAGTTTCTTTTCCTACCCCTGTGTCAGACCTGCTCTCCCTCAGCAGCCCCCTCACTCTTCCCTGCAATGCAGAGATGTCAGGAAAGGAGGGTGCAAGGAGAGTTGTAGCAGGTGGCTGGGGATAGAGGGGAAGGTCACGTTGTATTTGAGGTGAGGTGGCTATTTGTAGCACTGAGAGATTTGTGGGAAAGAGTTTTGAAATGTGTGGAGCATGCCAACAAGACATTTTTTGGGGGAAAGGTAGAGGAAGAATATTACAGAGTTTAGTTTCCATCCCAAATCCCTTGTTTCTGAGGCAGGATTGCTTCATCTGCACCACTTCTGATAGATATTCATTGAGTCTGTTCTTGAAAACCTGTATTGATTCACAGCCTGCTAGCATAAACAGTCAATAACTATCATTATGGCTAGACAGTTCCTTTTAATATCTAATCTAAATCACCCTTGCTGCTTCCTAAGTCAGTCCCTTTGGTTATCCACTTCTGCAGGGAGTAGGACAAGATTATCGCAGCCTTTTAGCAGCCTGACATATTTAAAACTTGTTATCGTCTCTCATTCTCTCACCCCCATTCCTCCACACTTTCCTTCCAACTAAACAAGCCCACTTCTTGTACCCTCTTCTCTAGGGGTCACACTTGGCTAATTTTTTTATCATTCCTGTGCGCATCTTGCTTGAGGTAGGACACAAACTGGATATAGGGCTGAGAGGAGTAAAGAGCCTGATGTGTGATGCTCCTCTTGATATATCTTCAAGCTTACTCACCTGTGTCTACCAAGCCCTGCACTGCTCTTGTCATGAAACCATAGAATTGTTAAACTTGGAAAAGCTCTCTAAGATCATTGAGTCAAATCATGTCATCCCTCTTTGTGACTATAGCCCCAGAGACTCTTTTGCTGTACTGCTCCTTTTTGTTTTGCATGACATCCTTCTTCTTCAACATGTTTTTTTACACCTGCCTGTATTGAATCTCAATCATTCATTTCAGACTGAGTCTTTGATTTATTAAGATTTTATTCTAATTTTAATCCCTGAAAATGCTCACAGCATTCCCTAGAGATTTGTAATTGTAATCTTCCTCCTAATTTACAAGTCATTAATGGAAATAATGAGTAGAACAAGACCCCAGGCACAGCCCTTATGTGTCTTTTCAGGTTGCCATTGGACTTGCTACTGTTCCTTGAGCACAGATTTGAAGCATTTGTATGCCTGCCCACAGTAAATTATACCTCAATTGTATTCGCCTGGTTTGCATATAAGACTATCACATGCATTCATCAAGGCTTTCCTCATTCCAACGTGTGACTTGTGCTGTTTTTTCCTCCCTAGTCACTACGCTCCCAGCTCCGTCAAAGAAAAAAATTAAATAGATTAGGCTTAATTTGTTCTTGACAAGTCTGTATTTTCTGTTTTCTCATGGCTTTATCTTGTGGGAGTGGATGCAGCTGCAGTGCAAGGCGGCAAGCAGGGAGATGGAAATTCATCTTGGATCGCACATTGCTCCCTCCTGCTCCATGATAAATCAACACTTGTTATAAGTATTTACAAGGGAATTGAATAATAATTTGTCTGATTTGATATCAAAGCAAGGCTGTTTGGTCTATGATACCTCAGATCTGTCTCCTTCCCCCTTCTGTTTGAAGTTAGATAATATGTTTGCCCTTCATTCATCCTTTGAGAATTTCTAGAAGGTGTTTACTCATGGCTAGGAGGCAGCCCTGACTAGTTCCCTACTCCATCCTTACTCCTAGCCTATGCTTAATTAAGCCCCACCGAGCTGGATACATCCAACTTGCATTAATGTTCTCCAATCTCTTTCTCCTGTGTTCTAGAGTATCTTTGCATTAAATAGCTAACATTTGATCATAGTGAACATTATTGTTGAAGGCTCTTCAAACACATTAATTTTATCTTTCCCGATGGAGCATGTCTCTGCAAGTCAGTGGATGCGGTGCTGGCTGTTTCTGTAGCAGAGGGTAGGGGCATGGCATTCTGGGGTGGCTGCATGCACAGCACCACTGCAGCCTGCTGGTTACAGTCCCATCTGACTTTATTGTCCTGCAAAATATGAAATTAGCAAGGTAAAAACCTTGTTTATTGTGCTTTTGATAGGCTGTTTTATATGCACACATGCAAAGCCAGAGTGAGAAAACAGGACCAATTAGAATGTCCAAAGCCTTAGATATTCTCCCGGGATATAGCTCAGGGTTATATTTAGACAGAGCAAGTAGCACCATCCAGTATTGAAACAACCGTAAGAACCTGTTTTCCATTGCTCTAGTCTGTCAGGCTTTTATCACTTGATCTGAGACTTTCAGGTTGTGTCTCTCTCTCAGGCTAGGTTTATTTTAATATTGTCAGCTAAACCAATTCAACCATTTCCAAGAAAAACTAGAGGGGAGGAGAGAAGGAATGTTGTTTTCCCCGCATTAGAAAGGGGAAAGCAAATAAATCTTTCAGCTTTTTTGATTAAGAGCTGCGGTGCCATCATGTTCAAGAACAGGATCTATGGTGACAAGGCTTGGAGACATCTGTGCGTGTTCTTGAGACTCATCTCTGTTTTGAGTGACTCCATTTTCTGAAGACTTTTCTCCCCATCCATCAGCACATCCCAGCCTCTGGTGCTGCCTGCTGGTGACCCAGCCCTGTGCTTGTGCCCTCGCTGCTCCAAGGGATGTGCCAGCAGAGCATGCCTGTGTAGCCCCGGCCCAGGGCTGTGCTGCTGGAGTGGGATCATCCCTGTAATGACAGCTCCTGCTTCTTCCAGGTATAGGTGAGATGGGGTCTCAAATCTGGGAGCAGAGAGCAGGTGCAGAGGTTCTTCTGCTGGAAGTGTAGGCAGGACAGTTGATGTTCATCAGGAGGGGAAGGAAGAAATTGGGGTGATGGATGCAAACTGAGGACTGGCCTGAAGCTGTGAGGGAGGAAGGACGTGCTGACTGCCACAGTGGTGGGCTGTGTGGGAAGAGTTACTCAGCTGGTGGGACCAGGAGACAGGAGGGCAGAGAAGGGATCCTGGAGGAGAGGGGGAAGACAGCAAGAAGGATTGGTGAGTATGGAAGAGGGAAATGAAAGCACTGGGGTACATGGTGGTGAGGAGTTAACAGGGATGGGGGGATATGGGACTTCCTGGACAAAAGTGTTGGTATTGAATTAGATGGACAGAGGGATGGAGGAAAGCACAGTACAAAAATTACTGCAACCAATTTTTTTGGCTCATCCCTTTAGGTTCATGTGCAGAAGCACTAGGTTCTTGCAGCAGTTGCTTTGAATGTACCTAATTCACTTTTAAAGCTGAGTCCTTCAAAAAAAAATCAGGTTGTAAGCACTTCAGACTGGGTGCCTAGAGTGGAGAGGGTTGTTTCACTTTAGTCTGTCTGCATAAATATTCTGTCTGGCACATGTCTGATATGAAATGGGAATAATGTCACCCAGACGTGAGTGAAGATAAGCTAGTTTAATGTGTGACCCATCTAGATAATACTCTTTGTAATTCAGATGCCTGTTAGTAGCTATATCTTCAGAGCAGTGTTTGAATAGCTGCTGTAGAGACAGCCCAGGAAGAATTGCCATCACCTAGGCTGCACACCAATCGAGACCAGAGTCCTGCAGAATTCAGTAGCCTCAAGTCATGTAATTAGAGACTGCAGCAAATTGTGTGTCCTTGATTTTGGCAATTCTTAATGCTGTATGCTTCATTTTGCAGTATGAATCATGTTCCTTCAATGTTTTGTTTTCTTGAAAGTTGTACAAAATCATTTATATTATTGTTATAAATAGTTCTGCTGAGGTGGGAGGGCAAATCATGCTCAAGAAGGACTTCAGGGGTTGTATTCAGCCAGTTGAAGGGTTACCACCTTCCCACCTTCCCCTACGTTTCAAGTAGTGGAGGGCAGGAGAGATGTTACAGAGGGCAGCCAGGACCAAATCCTCTGTCACTTCTGGTCTCCCACCCAATATGAGGCTGCTGTGCCAGGGCACTCTGGGGAACTTGGGCTAAAGGAAGGAGCCTGCCAAAGGGCTGCTCAGAGCACCATGAAGGGAGCATTCAATGCCATGCAAGCCATTTCAGAGCAAGAGGTAAAACCTGCTTCTGCCATTGCTGCGGGTGTTGGCATTCATCACCACTGGTACTGATCATCATACAGATGGAGGTGGTACCCCCCCGAAATAGCAAGGCTTGGGAACCCCTGCCACTGAAAACAGCTACAGACAAAAGCAGATCATAAATAGAAAACAATGTGTTTCCCCCACTGAGAATGAGTTCCAGAAGCAGCTCAGAGGAAACTAGCACCAAATTTCTTCAGGGTGTTTTTCAGGAGTGCATTGGGCTTTTCTCAGGCCGGAGGTGAGATCCGTGCTCATGGAATGAGCACCCCAAGGTGAGGCGCTCTGATGACGTTTCCATCTGGTGATCCCATTGTGTTCTGCTTGCCCAGGCTGTGGGTCTCCATTGTGTCTGTCTACATGGGGGCTGATGCTGATTTCCGCCATTCACACTTGTTTCTTTGCATCTGAGAGTGCTGTTGAGAAGTTTCCAGAGAAAGGCTTGGCCCCTGTTTCCAACGTATTGCAGAGTTGTACCGGCTGCCGGGGACAAGTCGGAAACACTGGCAAGATAGCAGGCATCCTCAGGAAGCAAACCCTATCAGAAAGCACTGATGTCATTGGCAAACAAAACAAATGAGGGCTGGAAAAACAAACTGTTTTGCAGCGTTGTTGATCTTCCCTCAAATTAGAAGCTCTGCACAGCCTTTACTCTGTGGTCCAGACTGACAGATTATTTACATGGAATGCTGCAGCAATGGTTTTGTTACTCCTGCCAATCCAATTACTTTGATTTTATTTTTTTGGGTTTATTTATCTAAGGGAGGGTGGGGTGAGTGTCCCAGAACTCTAGCCAGATTCAGAAAGCTGGCCAGCATCCTTGCAGATGATGGGTGCTGACATGGTTGATGTCCTGCAAGCTTTGATCAGGCAGGACTTCTGGCTTCCCTGTCCCTGATCAGGTCCAGTGCAGGAGATGCTACTTCCCCATGACTTCTGCACAGCCCTTTGAGGCTGTGTCCTGGCAATGTCCCAACTAGTGGCCACCTGCCACCACTGTTACTGGCTCCTTGGAGCTTGTGCCATGAGCACGGAGCAGGATTCTCCCCCTTGGTTGTTTCCATTGTGCTGTTGTGATGGGCATGGTGATAGCATCCTTCTCCCAGATGGGCCTCCCCCCCACACATAACACCATGGGGTTTCCCCTTTCACACATGGTGAGTTTGCAGAGCAAGAAGAGACAGTCATACCAGTTCCTCATGGCACACTTTCACTTGTTGCTCCTCACCACTGGTGCCAAAAGAAGGATCAGAGTAAACCCCATGGGCTGGAGGTTTCTCGCCCACACACCTTTGCCTCTCTGACGGCTGCAGTGGGTGGCAGAGAGGGGGTTAAACTCCTCTCCAAACCAGCCCTCTAACAGCAGGAAAAGCACATTTCTTCCTTGCACCTGTGAGCGCTTCGATGGGCTTTCTGCTGTTTATGGTAGTCACATTGGATCTTCCTCCTGTTAGAAGCTGAACAGCTCTAGCAGCCAGCTGTTCCCTCTGCTCGGCTCGTACCTGGCTCCTTGCGCAGTCCAGGCAGGGGGTGGATGGAAAATCAGCTTTTTAGGTCAGCATTCAAAAATAACCCTCAAAGCCTTCCGTTCCTTCCATGAGGGAAGGGTCCCACTCCTCCCTGCTTTCTGCCTGCTTGTACTTACTGCTGGCTCATCTACTCTGAGCTCTTACTGGGAATCTGGAGTTCTGTTCTAGCAGGGGCTAATATCTTCAGCACAGAGCTTTATTTCTCTGTTTTTAAAGGGTATGTAGTGTTGCAAGTGTGAAAAGGGAGGAGATTCATTAAGCTCTAAGGACAAACCGGTTTAGGTGTTCAGGAGGCTCTTAGGGTGGAAAGCCACTTTTGCAGTGTTCCAGGTTAAGTTGTGGCTCTGCATTACAACTGTGCCTGTTCTTCTACACGGTGAGCTTTCCTTGGGCGAGTGCCATGGCCACTGTGGGCAATGGCTGGAGGGTTCCTGGGTGCCTGGAGCTGCACACCAGGCTGGCCCGGAGCAGCTGGCCAGACTGGCTCCTCAGCTGGCACAGCATCCAGGAGTCAAGGTGGGACAGAAAATGGATGGGGCACGGATAGGCAAAAAGTAGCCATAACACTTGGAGTGCTGCAGCACAGAAACTGGTTTATATAGCACGCCAACCCATCCACTTCTGTGTATATGTAGCCTGAGAGATTTAGTACGAATAAACATGCAACAGCCATCTCAGTAGCTGCTCCATTTCAAGTAAATCCTTGTGAGCAGTAGTGAACACACTTCTCCCTTTCTTCATGCCCAGGAAGAGCATTAGGGACAGTGTATAAAATGCACTTTTGTGTTATGATTTTTGCAGAGACAGTCTCCTTTTAAGCAGCTGCCAGTGCAGGGCTCATGATCCTCAGGTGGACCTGCTGCTACTAAGGACACAAGTATTCACTAGATGTGTTAAATGAACTCTTCACACAGGGAAAATAATTTTGTCGTTATATTTTACATAAATCTATCTCTGTGTGTTTTACCTTTTTATCCACCTTTTAAAAATTTCTTCCTTTTGTTAACACAGTTCAAATGGGGAGGAATGTATCAGGATGGGTCCATTGTTTTGTACAGCCTTCAGAACAGAACATTACCTTCCACACATTTTAAAACTCTGGAAGAATGGGTGTTCTATAATTGCCATTATAAGCTGTGAGAGTGGTATAGACAATAGAGACTGTTTTCAGCCAACTAATTCAGTTTGCTGGATCTTTGCTCTAGTCAGTGCAGAATTGAGGGCTGTCACTGGGGAAGAAAAATCTTGACCATCCTGTATCTTGCAGATCCTTGAGGTACAATACACGGGGGCATCACGTGTTGTTTACAGTCATGTTACACAATGGAAGTGTGCTGTAAAAACAGCATACTTGAAATCTTAGGTTTTGTTATTTTAGCTGAGGATTGCAGCAGACCAATGCAGGGAGAAAAGAAAGTAATCTGTAAAAAGTAATCTGTTTAGCTGGGGTATTGCATGATATTACCTGGGTTTCTCATGTGGTTGCATAATTCATTTTTGTTCTTATGCATATTTTGTCCTTGTTCATGTGAACATTTTTTTTTAATTGGAATATGCAGAGCTGTAGGGAGAGGCTTATTGCTCTGTAATCCACCCCCTTCTCCTGCAGCAACTTAAAACATAATACAGAGCACACCTCTCCATGACTGGAGAAAAATAGTTATGTAAGGAAATGCCTGCTCAAGTTGTAGGCTTACCTCCAGTGCAAAGTTTTTATTTTGAGGTCGAATTAGTGAAACCTGAAAGCTCCAATCACCAGTGAATTCTTGAGTGAAAGGGACTGAGTCAGCAGCAGCAGCACAGCATCTGCTGCTTGGCTGAGTGCAGGGAGGTGTATTGTCTAGGGAAGGACAGCACATGATTCATCAGCATCTGCATGCACTTTACTTCATCTATTTTATTAAGAGGATGAAAAACTGAGTAGAGGAGATGAGACTTCTAGCTTCCTGAGCCTACCAGCTGATCAAAGGTATCTTTTCTTGTCTAAAGTGGCCTTCTGATTGTTTTTGGTTATGTTTTGTAGTGATGGGTCCAGCTGGAAAGAGCTTTCTGATGGCACAGCTGTGAGTGAAACCAGCACAACATGTTCAGTGTTGAAGACCTTCTGATATCTCATGGATACAAATTGTCGAAAAATCCCCCTGTTTCATACGAGAACAAATATGATGGATACCGGCATGAAATCGCGGGGAACAGATCTGCTCAGAGAGCAGCACTGAATGGGATTGAAGCAGAAACCAGAGCTGGGGCCTACAGCAAGAAACCTCTGGTGAAAGCCAGCTCAAGCAGCACTGAAAGCAGCCATGGGAGCCAAGGGAGGCAAGCAGGTCCTGGTTACCACCATGACCTTCAGGGTTTGTCCACTTTTCATACTTCAGAAGGGGGGTAAGTTTCAGCATCATGCCATTGCTTTGCTTTCTCTTTCTTTTGGTCTCGACAGGTGACTCTAACCCTTAACACCTTCTTCCTGTGATCCTTTCCTGCTCCCATCCTAGTAACCATTTCCGTTCACTGGATGTCCACATCCAGTGACACATCCATTCACCTTCTGCTAGAGAAAGGCCTTTGGGAATACTGGGATAATGGGAAGTGGCTGAGTGTGGGAAAATATGTTTTACTAATGTGGTCTGTATGAGAAAGGCCTTTCTGATGGACTTAGGAAAGCTTAGTTCTAGCACAGGGGGAAAAAAAGGGGAAAAAGGTAATTCTTTTCTTCAGTTTTAAAACTGCACCCAGCTTCTTCTGCCACTTACACACCCAGGTTTTACTGTGGATTCAGCTACATGCAGCTCTTGGTGCGTGATCCTACATTCATTGAAGACCTGCCTGTTCTCCTAAGGCTGCTCTTGTGGAGTAAATATGAGAAGGTGCCTGTGCACTTCTTTTATAAACAACTCCAAGCCAGTGGGAGCTCTTGTTGTCACTGCAGCAAACGTGCTTGTACAGCTATGGTTTGCTCAACACCGGGTACGTGCACAGCGGGGCTGGGGCCGGCTGGGCAGGAAGAGCTGAGTGTACACAGCGACACTCGGCCATTGTTCTGCAGCTATTTGAGTGCTGCAGATGAACAAAGGAAAGGGGCTCGAGCGGGACTGGAAGCCAGCCCAAGTATGACGATGGTTTACAAGGAAAAGCCCCTTCCTCCTGCCGAGTGGGCTTGAAACTGAAAGCAGGGCAAAACACTGTCACCTTGGGAGCTTGTCCTCTTACAAAGACCTTCAGTAACATGTGGCAAAGCCATGTGTCCCTTACTCCTGGGCTTGTCTGCTCTTTCCCTTCGCATCTTTTCCCCTTACAAGTCTGTTTGCCTGGAGCAGGAATGGCTGCTGGTTGCCAGTTAGGATAATGGGCGGGAAAAGATGTGAGCCCTCTAAAGCAGTCATAGGACAGCAAGTCCTGGTCAAGGTCTCCAGGTGGAACCATCCATTCTAGAGAAGGAAGGACAGAACACAGATGAAAGAGTAATTGGGAGGATTCTTTCTGGTGTGTTTTGGATGAAGTAAACTGGACAACAAAAAAGAGAGGAAAGATACTGAAAAATAATTAAAGGAAAAAAGGTTTTGAAGCAGGGGAAGAGAGCGTGCAGTGGTGTTGAAGGTGATGCTCAGTTTAGTGTGGAGAAATACTGTTGTGAAGATGATCTCGCTGGGCAAGGCTGGAAGGTACCACAGCACTGCTGCTCCTGCACCCTGTTTGTCAGAGCCTGTGTGGATGCACAGGGGTTTGGGAGGGCTGCTGCCTCCCTGCTTCCCATTCCTCTGGGTGCGTTTGCCCCACATGGGGCACACACCTGCCCCACATCTTGGATATGGAAGAGACATCTGTAATTGGTGGTCTTGGCTAAATATCAAATAATGCTCTCTAACAATTTAAACATCTCTTTCTAAATGCAAGGGGTGGGACCTGCCAGTCTACAGCATAGTTAAATATTAATCCTGGTTTTTAAAAGTGGCTTTTCCACATAACATAGGGAACACAACCCTGGAAATGGCTTTGTCACACTTCCATAAAATAGAAATATTTTCTTGCTGTTACTGTTACAGCAAACTGTGATTCCCAGTGAGCATACTGGGAGCTCTCACAAGGGACTAGCAGCTAGAAAAACCTTTGTATCATCCCTTCCTTGCCATGTCTGTGAGTGTGAAGTGCCTCTGGTGTGGAGTGTGACACGGCCGTGGCTGGGCTGGTCTGGGAAGGGAGGACGGAGCTCTCCAGGCTGGATCTGGGGAAGCCACAGCACTGCAGTGCCTCGTGTCAGCTCCTGAGCCCCTCCAGGTCCACTCCCAAGTCACAAGGCTGCCGTGTTGTGTGAGCTGCTCCAAAGGGGGACGGGAGATACCTGTGCTGGCCCAGCTGGGCGTGCTCAGGCCTGCGGCAGGCGGGCTGTGCTGAGCTCCAGCAGACGTTTTGATATCACTGTTGGTTTCTGGGCAGCTCTGGGAAATCAGCTTCTGGTTCCCAGGCTGGGAAAGTGCCGCACACTGCAGAGACCTGGGGACAATTTGGGACCAAAGAGAAGTGACCACCCAGCGAGTTACTCTCTGGGCATCACAGGCTTCCTGCCACCATTTCTTGGTGCTGCTTTCCCAGTTAGCACAGAGCAGGAGAGGGCCTGAACAGGCTGTGGGTGTCCTGCAGGGATGGCGACAGCTCCACAGCAACTCTGAGCATGGCTTAGGCTCCTTGTCCAGGGAATTATCTACACCATACTCTTGTTTACACCACTGATGTAGAACTAATCATCTCCCATACACTACGGAAGTGGGTGATGTTGCCAGCCTCGTGGCTGCCTTTGCCGGCAGGTTTGCAGGACTTGTGGTGTTTTGTGATGGCAGGGGATGATGCTGTTGTCTCTGCTTGTTAAGGTTGTTCTGCTAATCAAACCTTGTTGAGGAGGGTGGTGGCTTCATAGCCACTGCTCCTGCTGCTCATGAGGGGAGAGTGATGCCCCAGTGGAATGGGGAAGTGGTGTTTGGCTCCATCCTATTGTTCTTCAGGCAAGGTGTGAGGGAGCAGATGGTGGGAGGGCTCTCCTGGCTGTCCTTGCTTAACTGAGCATTTGGAGGCCACACAGTAAAGGTTTGGAAGAGGAAACAAGTCAAAAAAAAAAAAGGGACAGCCGATCCTATGGGTATATATGAGAGTTCTCTTCACAGGAGAACTCCCTTCTGATTCTGTTCTAAGTGGAGAGAAGAGGCACTTTGCTTAGTTGTTTGTGTGGGAGGAGCTGTTAGTAGCTAGCAAATTTAGTGATAAATAGATATCATTAATGAGATCACCTGCTGGAACAATTAGAAAAGTATACTGGTGTTTTCCAGTGCTGGGTCTCAGAAGAGTGTATGTGAGGATAGGATCTCAAAATAGAACAGAAGCTGCCAGTGTCCAGAACAGCGTTCTGAAAATTTTTCCACCTTGCTGACTTTCTTAACAGTGCTCTTTGTGGGGCACAAAGTCTGTGCCAGTGCCAGTGCCATGCAGGATGAGCTGCTGAGGCCCCAACACCTTCCACTTGCATGCTGGCAGCCAGCAACAGGGACAGACATTCCCTACATAGCCCTGCAGTGGCCTCATTCTGCAGGGTTTGGACTTCGATGCCTGTGCCATGCTGCTTCACTTTTGGCCCCATTATCTGCATCATGTGAGGTCCTGCTGGTCCAGCGTCACCCCAGGGGAAAAGGGCAGCTTCAACCCATGGCTCTGAGCAAGACAGCTCAGTGGAATGTGGTCATAGAGCCAGGGCAGCATAGACTTATGGCCTCATTTCTTGTGAAGGCCTAAAATTCACAGAAACTTAGAAATAGTTTTTGGGGTTTTAAAACATTTTAATGAAACTAACTTTATATCGAATCAATTCAAAGCACTTTATGAGCGCAAATGTGATACTCATTAGAAGGAGGCCTGTTAGAAAAGAGTTCATAATGTTAAAACCCGCCTCCCTGATCCCTTGGGACCACTCTGTCCCTGGAACTTATATCTCCACAGTTGGTCCCATGAGACTGCTCCATCCTCGGCTCCATCCTCCTCCCAGCTGTCAGGCATGTGGAAGCTGCTGTGTCCGGGTGTGCATTTCTTTGTGCATCAGCACCAGCACATCCTGGAGAGACACAGAATTGTGTAGTGGCAGAGTCAGAGATGAGCTGCTGCACAGAGGGGCTGTGAAGTCTTCTCTTTGGTAATAGGCACCACCTCACCTTTGGTGAGGCTGCAGTGAAGCATTTTAAGCTTGGAGTGGCTCTTGGAAGTTTCCTCTTCACCACTTCATTGACTGCAAGACCCAGAAGTGCCACATGTCCAGGAGGGAGGCACTCTCTGCTGCAGCTGTGGCCACAAGCAGTGTGTTTGTGCTGTGCTGCCCCGCTGCCTGCCTGCTGTGCCTGCATGCAGGGGTGCAGGAGCTGCTCTGCATCCCTGAGAGCAGAGGAGACCTCAGGATGGAGCTGCACTGGAGGGTCCTTGGAGCATCCTCTTCCCACCGCACAGTACAGTGTCATCTTCAGAAGTTTACAGGGTCCCTGATAGAGGCTGGCTGTGTAGCCACTTCTAGTGCCTTAGCCAGGATTTACAGAGACAGATACTGTCTGTCCTATGAGTAGATCTTAGAAAGGATCAGGTTTAAAATGTTCTAAATGCCTCCTTTTAAATGTCTTTTTTACAGTCTTGTTGCAATGATGACATAGTACAGGTTATACGGTGGTTTGTATCATATTCTGAAGTTCATTACTGGAGCCTAGTTATTAACCTTTAAAAATAAATTTAATCTTTTAAACAGCTTTTAATAAATGGAGGGCTTTCTCTCTTTCTGTTGAAAAGGATTTTGGGTTACTTTGTGGGTTTTTTTTAATGGTGAATTAAGTTTTGCAACATCACACGAAATAAAAAAATCAGAATTTTTAGGTTCTTTTCTAAGAGATGCTACCACTTAAGCAGGAATCATCTCAAAGAAGTCTGATGGCCTGTGCTGAGCAAGATGTCAAGCTAAATAATTCTAATGGTCTCTTCTGATCTTGGAATCTGCGACTGTACTTCCTGCAATTTCTGTAAGACCCTTTTACAATGATGAATAAAATCAATCAGAAAGGGCAACCTGTTAATTTTCTCCTCACTCTTGCTGGACCCTGTTTCTCACCTCATTTTGTAAACACAGATACAAATGGTGCCACAGCAATATGGGGATGAGATGAAAAGGTAGAAAACAGCATTTGTTCAGTTGTATGTTTCCACATGGAAGTGTTGGTTGTTACTACAGTCAGCTTCTGATATAGGAGGTGTCCTGTTATATTTCATTGATTAATGGACATGTCTGTTCCTTCTTGGCGTTCAGCAATCACACTGTATTTCATGCTTCAGAGGCAGAACATTTTGTTCAGAAGTTCAATCTTAATCCAATTGAATTAATATGAACAAGATGCTCCTTATCCCAGTGTGATTTTTAAGCTTTTAGAGTCATAGGATGAAAGTAATATACATAAAAGAAAATTGCTGTGGATCTGCATGGCTTAATTTTCATTCTGAATTTTGACTTGTGTTATGTCTTCACAAAGTCCTATTTAAATAGATCATTTAAATAGATCATGTTTTTAGTAAAAAAGAGCCAGATGACACTGTTTATATACCTTGGGGTGGAGGGAGGAGAAAGAAATTCTTGGGTTTTATCTAGATACTTGTCCTATTTCTGTCAATTTTCATTTTTCTTTCCAGTCTTATGCTGGTGGCAGCCACATAGTGTAAAGGCAGTTATATTGTTGGACACCTTAGGTACAAGAATAGCAGAATGCAATTCAAGTAGAAAATTAATTATTTATATAGAAGGGTACCAATTTTGTTCTGCAGAAATGTATAAAACAGTTTACACTCTGTTCAGAACAGACAATGAACCTATTCTGTTCATGTAAATCTGTGCTCTGAATTTCTAATCTGCAACGTCTAACATCTTTCATATTTCATTGATAGATTCTTTTATTTAAGAATTTTATACTTCTTTTGAAGTATTTTACATTTTAAATATTGGTTCCGTCTTATTCAGAATTGTGTTGATACATCACCATTGTTGTGACATGTGTCATTTATTCCAAAGCACCCTGAAGAAATTTTTTCGCTCAGAAGGATGAACAAGAATCAATTCAGGAACTGACATGTTTAATTTCAGCACTTTACCAGGATGCAAATCATGTTTCTTAGAGACTATATCTTATGAAATCTTATGATATAGACACCTACATGTTCTCCCTACCTCTGCTTCCTGGAATTCTATTAAACTTGAATACCACAGTAGTCTCCTTGACATCTATATATTTTGATTTAGCAGGATACAGAAGTAATTTAAGACAGTCACTTCTGGTTTTAGAATGGCATCTTAGAATCAGAGGCTGGTCTGGGTTGGAAGGGACCTTCAAGATCATCTAGTTCCAAGCACCCTGCTGTGGGCAAGGAATTTTCTAAGGTCCATCAAGGGCGGTTGTGCATGTTTGCACAGCAGGTAACTGTGTGCATTTGTCTCTCTTTCTAACATCTTTGCATAGCTAACAACATGTCAGAAGAGCTTCTTTCCCTTCCTTTACCCGTATTAATTGACTGACTTTTAAATCCTCTCATTAAAATTGTCATCTGGTTGCAAATAGATTACACAAAACCCCATTGGCATAACTCATCATTTGACCTCCTAATGGCCTTACCCATGGTAGAAAGAACAGGCACCTGTGCACACTGCCTCTGACACTGCTTTTTTTTCCAGGGTTTATGACAGGCCTCATTTAGCATGGTCTTCCCAGCCCAAGACTGATAAAGACCTCACCTACTGGAGGAGACGAGGACAGGATTTCAGTGTGCTACTGGGCTATTCCCAGAAGGCCAGTGTGGAGATGAAAGGCCTGGCTGCAGCCCCAGGGGCACCCCGCCACCCCAAGGAGAATCAGCTGAAGGTGGGGACAGGTGCAGGGTATGCCAGAAGAAGCGGCTTGCAGGAAAGCTGTGAAGTGTCCAGCGACTGCAGATGGCAAAGTCTGGAAGTAGAGAGCTGGAACCAGCCAAAAAAGGTAGGGAGGCAAATGTCCGAGGGTGACAGGGAGAAGCTGCTCCAAGAGCTGTATTCGCTGACCTTGGGAGACAATGTGCTCAGCACCCACAGCAGGGGGAAATCTCAGTCGTTGCCAAGGGTCCTTTCACCTGAGAGCATGAGGTGCGTGGAAATGCCCTCCCTGACCAACAGTAACAGCTCGCTCAGCGTCACTAAAACCCCCTCCTATCCCCCAAACAGACTGAGTGTGGAACCAGCCAAGCACCATGGAACAGGAGGCAATTTCCTTCCCCTGGTGAAGCCCAAGTATGGGAGACCTCTCAAGCCTCCATCCTATGAACTGCAGCGGCAGACTAGGGCACCTGCAGAAACCGTGGGTTTCCAGGACCACTACCAGAAAGAGGAACCTATCTCCTACTTAGCCAAAGTCAATGAGCCAAGGCAAGATGCTGGCATTCCAGACTCTGGTTTGGAGCCCCCAGTGTATGTACCTCCTCCTTCTTACAAATCCCCACCTCACCAACACGTGACCCCACATTCCCCCAGTGAAGTGCCTAACACCAACACGTGCGCCAGCAGTGATCCACAGGGTCCTGCAGAGCGGGTTGTCCCCTGCCAACGACCAGCAATGAATACTTTTGAAGTGGGGGGTAACCCTTGCAAAGACAACCATTTTCCTCATGGGAAGCAAAGCCATGCAAGGCGCCCTGCTGACCACCTGCGTTCCGTTCAGTATATTCCCTTTGATGATCCTCGGATACGACACATTAAAATTGCACCACTGGAAGGTCTGCAGGGCAACTCTAACCACACTGAAAATGCATGTAGTCCCAGTTCTGGTGCTTTGCAAGAGAGAAATCTTGAAGTACAGTACAACAGTGCCTTTGTGGATGCATCAAACTTGTCCAGTTCTGCAAAGGGAGAAAGAACTTCCGACAGCTCCACCCATAGCAACAGATGGTTGGCACCATCCATCCGAGATCAGGAAAACTGTGCCTTGCCGGACCAAAGAGACAATTGTAGAGCAACTAATCACAGCCCCCGTAATGAAGCCAGCACAGAGTACACGAAAGGCAAACTTTCTGTAAGAAATTCACATATGGACAACACCTGTGAGACTGTTACAAAAGTGAAAAAGTTTGAACCTGGAACTGGGATGCAGAGCAAAAAGAGTTCAAAGAAAAAAATGAATGAAACTATATTTTGTTTGGTCTCCATCCCGGTTAAATCAGAATCCAATCTGCCAGATACAGATAGGAACAACAACATAACTCAGAGCCCTGATAAGAATAGGTTTGATAACAATGGGGCTTTGCAAGAACAAAGTCTCTTAAGTATGTCTTCAACAGACTTGGAGTTACAAGCGCTTACAGGAAGCATGACCAATAAAAATGAGTTACAAAAACAAGAGCTGTGGAGACCAGAAGAGTTCAAACAAATGAATGACCTCAGATTTATTCAGCCTACAAAACACAGAGAACTCAAATATTCTGGCTCCTGGCCAGGTGATCAGTACAAAGACCAGCAGACACAGACAAGTTTCTCTGAAGAACCTGAGAGCCCAGAATTTTTCCATGGTACAAAGCCTGGGAAGCCTGATAGTGGCAAACCACTATCTCCAAAACTCCCAGGATGTACAACATCCACAGTGGGGACAAAACAGCCAGTGTCACCTTTTGATGAGAGAGGTTGCAGGCAGAACAGTTACAGTATGAAGGGCCAGACTCACCTCAGCCAGTCTAGCAACAGTGCATTTTCTAGGACTGCCACCTCAGTCCTTCAGTCTCCCTCCCCAAAAGCCCACCAGAGCCAGCCTGGGGCTGTCCAAGAGAGGGAAAATGGCCTTCTTTCCAAGGGAGATGTAGTTAAGGGAGAACCAGGTGCTCCCTGCAACAGTACAGAACCATTTGGGCAGTTCCTGTTGAAACCTGTAAGTCGCCGTCCCTGGGATGCAATAAGTGAGCTAGAAAGTTTTAACAAGGAGCTGCAAGGGCAGGAGGAGAGCACAAGCAGTGAAGAAGATTTGGAAAGTGCTGCAGCTCCTCTGCAGGCAGGTGCCTTTATGCCGAGGAGGGAGTCGAGAAATGAGAAATCAAACCAGGAGCCAAAACATGGTGGGAAATCAAAAATGGTTGTGCCAGAGGTGCCTGTAATTAGGTCAGGAAGGGTTAAAAGTAAGTCTGAAAGTTGGAGCATGGGGACAGAGCATGGTGGTGAGCCAAGATGTGGTAGCTTTCAAGGCTCCTCAAAGCCAGGAGGGAACAGTGAAGGAGTCAGGCCAGCAGATGGAAGTCTGATAACAGAAATGGGGATGGGGGAAGCCAAAGGCAGAACAAGCAAACAGCCAATTCATGAGGGCCCTGTCAAAAGAGTTTTGTCCAGTAGCCCAAGTAGTACATGTCACAGTAATCCTTTCAATAACCCTGTCTTGCAGGAGATGAGTGAAGACCAAAATTACCTAGACTTTGTTAAACTGAGCAAAGGTGCAACTCCCACAAATGATAGGGTATTGGAGGAGTCAGTAGTTCGCTTGTCACTAACAAAGAGGAACCAAAGGTGCTCTGAGCCAGATTTGAGGTCAGTGGGACTTGCTGTGGCCCCAGAACCTGGTGCTAACAACTCTAATCACTCTTCGGATGCAAATGCAGTGGAAATCCCTGTGAATGAGTCATTGCAGGCAAGAGCTGCAAGAATTTTAGGTATAGAAATAGCAGTGGAGTCTCTCCTTCCAGATGACCATGTTGGGCCCCACCCAGGCGCAAGCCCTTCAAACGGTGCTCAGGACTTTGAGACATCACTGATAGGGAGCACAGTAAGTAACAAAGAAGGAAAAAAGGAAGATTCTTACGAAGGCAGACGAAAGTGTGGCTGGACAGAGAGTGCTCTCTTTGTCAGAGCAGGAGGGCGATCTTTATACCCTTTTGAATCCCAGGCCACTCACCAGGAGGCCAGTGCTAAACCCCTGGTAACTGAGCAAGTTCTTGAACAACCTGTGAGCCCCAGCCAAGGTGAGGACCAAAACTTGGTTTGCAAGTCAGCTGCTTATCAGCATTCAGAAAGGAGAGTGAGGAGCACCTCAAAAGTGATAGAGACACTCCAAGGCAAGCTGACGTCTCCACCCAGCCGGACTGCCATGGATCGCTTGGTGCGAATGAAAGAAGTTGACTCTGTGTCGCGCATGAGACGTCTGAGCATTAAGAGCGCAGACTCGGGAGAGGAGGTGGATGAGGAGAAGCTGTCGAAGGTATCAGAGGAGAGAGGAAGCAAACTGGCAAGCTCAGGGGCTGTTTCCAAGCGTGTTATCTCATTCAGTGAAAATGGATGTTTAGGTGGAATGGACAAGAAGAAGATCGACAGAGATTTTTCGTTAGGTAAGACCCTGTTATGGGAGATCCAGATGGGTACTCGTTTCTTATGTAATGGGCATGATCAGTTTGCTTATGCCCACGTAGTGCTGCTCAAATAGTAACAGGCTGTAGGTGGTACTATCCTCATCTGGGAGCCACCCACTTTGCTCTCCTTGTGGAAAAGATGAGTGTTCTCTGGTCCCATTTTAGGAATTGTTACTGTAAAACTCACTTGTGATACAGAAATTCATTCACAGAGGCCTGGAGTGCTCCCTAAGGTCTTATCTCTGTCTAATTGTTTCAGGGAATGGCCAGGCTAAAACAGTGGAGTTCAAAGACAGTCACTCTAATGCCCATGTTTGGGAACATGTGGTGATTTAATCATAGCTGTTTCTTGAATGCCAATTTTTTTCCTTCTCTAATACTTAAGTAGACACATACTATATCATAGTTCAGAAGAAACTAAAAATAAAAATCTGATGTTCTTCTATGAAGCCTCTGGGAAATGGCTGCATATTGGGGTCTGGAAATTCTCTCTCTCTCTCATGAATATTTTCCAGATCAGATGTTGAGAATAACTATTAACCCCAGGACAAATGGAAAGTTGACTTTTTCAGTGAACACCTTTTTTTTTTTTTAAACTATTTTTTGGTGTTTCTGATCTCTCTAAAACATATAAACTTGTGTAGTCCATATGCATCCCCAAAGTAACATGAGCAGTTCTCTCTCTGAAACAGTTTTCATTTAGCATTTTTTTAACAACTGAAAATCAGTTATTGCTGTTAGACCTGTGTAAGGGGATAAATCTCTCAGGCCACCTGCCTAGTCCATTAAATAGATTGGAGTGAGCAAACATACAGTGTGAAAGCTGTTAAATTAGTATTAATCTCCTCCTTCCTTTTTCCATCCTTTCTGTTACAGTTGACACTTTGCCTTGAAATCTGCACAGGTTTTTCATTTAACCTTATTGGTAAAAATCTATTCACAGTTTTCCAGTACAGAGGGACTGAAATTAAATGAGGTATACTTTAAACTGGATTTATGCATATCCAACTGTAAAGAAATGCTTTTATGAGTTCTAAGTATTGACTCCTGCAGTCTTGAAGCCTTTTTCTCCATGTCTTTTTCTGTATCCCACATCTTTGCCTCTTTCTGCTCTGAACTGTATTTCTCCAGACTGGATTTTTCAAACAGACTGATTCAGCTTTCTTGTACCCATCAGGTCTAGTCTGCCCCACATGCATTTCATATGCTTTCCTCCCTTGGGGTTTCTGCTGGAGTGAAGAAAATAACTGTTGTGGTGACATGACTTCAGGGATGTATCAAAACAGATTGTGTGTGTTTTATTGGAGAGTTATTCTGCAGTAAATTAGGTCTAAATTTATCCCTCTTGCTGACAATGCCAGGCTTATATTCTGCAGTGTTTTCCCACTGCAGCAGCTCCCTCACAGCCGTAACAGCCCTCCCCATGTTTGGATGGCATGAATGTCCCTTCCTGCTGTGCATGTCCAGGGTGACACACATGGGGTGGGCAGGTGGCTTCTGGCCTCTTCCCATCCAAAGAGACCCTGATTTGTTGCTGGCCCCAAAAGCTTCACCTTAAGAGGGACTGTAGATTCATGTTTGTAAAAAGGCCTGATGTGTCTTCCTCTTTTAAATCTCACTCTAATTTTCACAATAGCTCACTGGTACCATTGAAAGCCCAAATGAGAATTAACCCTGGAAAACCATTGTATTTGTTGCTTTCAAAGAGCAAATATTCCATTTTAAATGGCCACTCTATTTGGAGCAAGGTAGGGTGATGTTAGTCTTAAAATTGCAGACTGGGCCTGTCACAGAGGCTGCAGCCCTTAGCAGAAACAGGCTTTCACATGTATAATGTAGCTTGGCAGACGAACAGTCATCTCAGAGTAAGAGCCCTGCCAAAACTGAGTGCAAGAAGCTCATCTTACTATGCAAATACTGCCATTAGGAGAACATCTCTAAGTGTTCCCAAATGCATTGGATGTCTTTTCTCCTTTGCTGTTTGAAGACATGAGTCTGCTAATCTGGCTTTGTTTCTGTAGAGAGCATTTTAAATGAGCTTAACCAAATGTTGAATAAGCATTTCTGTATCAGTGCTAGAACTCCAATGTCTGTCCCCCTCAAAAGGGTGATCTGGCCTGTCAGTCTGGCACTTTTGTGTCCTTGGTTTGGGTGCTGAGGGCATGGGTAAGCTTTCAGGGAACATACTGAGCCATGCAGAGGCTCCACATCTTGTGGCTTGGTTTTCTCCCTTCCTCCCCGCCCCTGTCTTGCCACTCCCTGAAACAGTGAGCACCTGAAATTTTGTGGGGAGTTCTGTTAATGTGAATGTGTCTGGCCTTAAGAAAATCAGGTTTCTGAAATGCAAATCCATTTTTATTCTTAGGTCAACCTGTCACAGAAAACTTGAGAATTTTAGGTTCTAACAGTTTAGATGGCAAAATATTTACGGTCAAAAAAATCTTACTGCTTTAGAGGCATCTTCATATGCCGTCAGTGCATTAAGCTTAAAAAGATGCAGCATTATCCTAGAGCACACTAGCCCTCAAAAACTTTATTCTTGTTGATTTTTTGCATTCATGTGGTGTCTGTTTGGAAATACCAGAAAAGGCTTAGCAGACATCATAGGTGTTGCTGGCACAGACTCCTTTCTTGGCTGGACTGGCAGCTCAAGGAGGGTGAGCAAGAGAAGTGATAAAAGATTCTGCAACACAAATCCACCCACTGGGGCCAAATCCAGAAGTCCTTTCTTAGCCAGTTCCCCCTTGACATGAGTGTGGATGTAGCAGATGGACACTTGCACATAGGAGCAAAAATTTCCCAGGAGGATTTTTATGCTTTTTATGTTTGAATGAAGACATTCACTCACATCAACACAAAAGTCCTGAGGATGAATGTTTTACTCCAAAGTGTGATATTTGTGTGTGGAATATTTTCATGCTCAGCTGTTTAAATGTGAGTGCAGTGGGAGTACAGCCTACGGGAGGGACGTTTAAGGTTAGCACAGATACTCAGGTTGTGTAAGAGCAGAAGCAGCACGCGGCAGCACGCTGCAGTGCCGGTTTGTCGGGGCCCCTCTGCGCCTGCAGACTCCTCCCTAGGTAGCCCTGGCTCCTACATGCCATGACCATGCACATGAAGGGCAAGTCAGGTGTCTGCATGATGGCTCTGGGCAGGCAGACCTCACAGGGCAAAGCCTTTTTGTTGCCATCCTGTTCCAGAGTGACAAGGGTGAAGAAAAAGGCTCATGTCTGCTCACTTCATGGCCAGCAGTGGGATAAATCCAATTAAGAAATCTGATAGAAGAGTGCCCTCAGGGACTTGGGAAAAGGAAAACCAACCTGTGGTATGTCCTCTGAACTGGCAGGAGGGAGGCTGGAAGTGAAGAAGAGTGTTAGCAAGCCATTCCAGTGCTTTAGTGCAGAAGGCTGAAACATGAGCTGCAGTTCTGCAGACTTGCAGAAGCAAGACAGACTAACCATAGTGATGCAATGCAGCTGTGCTTTCCTATTTTCTGTTGAATTAATCTGAAATGAAGGATTTGCAATCAAATGAAAAGACCCTGATGACTGCATGGCATAATCACTCCTTCAGCCAGCCTTACACACCCTGCTAGGATGCTCAAAGCATTTACTGGTCCTTAGTGTTCAGTACAAGGGGGAGCAAATCTTATGTCTTTTTCTTCCTGTCAAAGCACCTGAAAACTGGAAGTAATCACTTAGCATTCAGTGTGCTTGTTCCTACCTACCCAAGGCCTTCCCAAATTCTATCTTCATGCATTTGATCAGAGTTGTTCCTGAATTATACTGGTAAAAACACAGAATCTGGGTCAGGAATGCAATATGTATCTTTAATGCGGCAAGCTTTATCAGCTTCTCTTTTTTTAAATAAAAACTAGGGAAAAGATGTGTCATTTCCACAGCTGGAAATATTCAATAGATTTCACAATACATTATTAATAGTGTTCTCTTGGTTTTTTTTCAGATACATATGACCCCACCAAAGTTGAAAAGGTGTGAGATTAATGAAGAAGAGAATAGAGAAATTTCTGCTCTACTAAGAATGTTTCACTGATTTTTTTCTGGGTGCTTTTTGTTTGGTTTTTGTTCTTTAACATTTGGAAATTGTCTCCATTTGTGATGTTCATGGTGTACTGATAATGCCTTTACCACTGCCACTAGGAATTAGCTATTCATGTCTGAAACTGTTACGGAGACCACAGAAAAATGACTTCTACATTGGAACCATCTGGCTTTGTAGTGTTTAAGACAATACCTACCACTGGCAAAGAGTTTTCATCTGAACTTTATTTCAGTCTTTAGCAAGGATAATGAAATGCATCAAGTGAGGTGTTACATTGGTGTAAATGTAAACATGGGAAATTTGTGAAATTATTTTTAAAAGAATGTGAATCTATAAGCTAAACTTCTAAGTATCTACATTCTAAACTTTGTTTAACTTAAGGGATTTTTTGCCATAAGTAGAAAGTGCTGCTGCACTGTGTGGGGGAAGGAATGTGAAAGAATGGTAGCAAAGACTGATTATGAAATTCTCTCTGACTTCCAGAGTTTGAATTTACTTGGATTAAATACATACTTGCCACCTGTAAGGAAGAAAAAACAAAACCCAAAATCTTCTAAAAGATGGAAGACTTTTGTAGTACAGTGTACAGAACATGTAATTATAGTAGCTGGCAACTATGTTTCAAACCAATGCAAAGTATACCACTGGCTGTTTTGCACTCAGTATTACCTGTTTTTGTTTTGCTGTTTCTTTATATGAAAGAATAGTAGCTAAATTCTTTATATGAAAGAATAGTAGCTGGTTTAAAATAGCCCATTTTAACAAAGTAACTATATTTCTTGTTACAGAATACTATCTATTTTTCTACGATGTAAACAATTGCTAACAAGTGGCAAGTATAAAGAAGTATTATTATTATTATTATAATAATTATAATTATATTTTAAGAAGACTTATTCCTCTGAGTGAAGGTGCCCCAAGCAGATTTCACTTGTATATCTTAATGCACACACCATATTGCCACTTACTCAGTAGACTGGCAGGAGGGAGGCTGGAAGTGAAGAAGAGTGTTAGCAAGCCATTCCAGTGCTTTAGTGCAGAAGGCTGAAACATGAGCTGCAGTTCTGCAGACTTGCAGAAGCAAGACAGACTAACCATAGTGATGCAATGCAGCTGTGCTTTCCTATTTTCTGTTGAATTAATCTGAAATGAAGGATTTGCAATCAAATGAAAAGACCCTGATGACTGCATGGCATAATCACTCCTTCAGCCAGCCTTACACACCCTGCTAGGATGCTCAAAGCATTTACTGGTCCTTAGTGTTCAGTACAAGGGGGAGCAAATCTTATGTCTTTTTCTTCCTGTCAAAGCACCTGAAAACTGGAAGTAATCACTTAGCATTCAGTGTGCTTGTTCCTACCTACCCAAGGCCTTCCCAAATTCTATCTTCATGCATTTGATCAGAGTTGTTCCTGAATTATACTGGTAAAAACACAGAATCTGGGTCAGGAATGCAATATGTATCTTTAATGCGGCAAGCTTTATCAGCTTCTCTTTTTTTAAATAAAAACTAGGGAAAAGATGTGTCATTTCCACAGCTGGAAATATTCAATAGATTTCACAATACATTATTAATAGTGTTCTCTTGGTTTTTTTTCAGATACATATGACCCCACCAAAGTTGAAAAGGTGTGAGATTAATGAAGAAGAGAATAGAGAAATTTCTGCTCTACTAAGAATGTTTCACTGATTTTTTTTCTGGGTGCTTTTTGTTTGGTTTTTGTTCTTTAACATTTGGAAATTGTCTCCATTTGTGATGTTCATGGTGTACTGATAATGCCTTTACCACTGCCACTAGGAATTAGCTATTCATGTCTGAAACTGTTACGGAGACCACAGAAAAATGACTTCTACATTGGAACCATCTGGCTTTGTAGTGTTTAAGACAATACCTACCACTGGCAAAGAGTTTTCATCTGAACTTTATTTCAGTCTTTAGCAAGGATAATGAAATGCATCAAGTGAGGTGTTACATTGGTGTAAATGTAAACATGGGAAATTTGTGAAATTATTTTTAAAAGAATGTGAATCTATAAGCTAAACTTCTAAGTATCTACATTCTAAACTTTGTTTAACTTAAGGGATTTTTTGCCATAAGTAGAAAGTGCTGCTGCACTGTGTGGGGGAAGGAATGTGAAAGAATGGTAGCAAAGACTGATTATGAAATTCTCTCTGACTTCCAGAGTTTGAATTTACTTGGATTAAATACATACTTGCCACCTGTAAGGAAGAAAAAACAAAACCCAAAATCTTCTAAAAGATGGAAGACTTTTGTAGTACAGTGTACAGAACATGTAATTATAGTAGCTGGCAACTATGTTTCAAACCAATGCAAAGTATACCACTGGCTGTTTTGCACTCAGTATTACCTGTTTTTGTTTTGCTGTTTCTTTATATGAAAGAATAGTAGCTAAATTCTTTATATGAAAGAATAGTAGCTGGTTTAAAATAGCCCATTTTAACAAAGTAACTATATTTCTTGTTACAGAATACTATCTATTTTTCTACGATGTAAACAATTGCTAACAAGTGGCAAGTATAAAGAAGTATTATTATTATTATTATAATAATTATAATTATATTTTAAGAAGACTTATTCCTCTGAGTGAAGGTGCCCCAAGCAGATTTCACTTGTATATCTTAATGCACACACCATATTGCCACTTACTCAGTAGTGCTACCTTATTTTGCTCTGAAAAAAAGCCATCTATCTATCTATCTATCTATCTATCCATCTATCTATTTACCACAGGGTTAATTTCTAATTTTTCCCACTCAACCCTTGGATGGTTCTTCTTGGAGCCACGTTCTGAAGCACACTGAGAACTCTCCAGGCTGGTGCTGCTGCCATTCCATTCCAGGGACGCTGATTACCAAAAAGTGGGTTTGGATCTTTGTCCCAGTGTTGCCGAGTGGCTCAGATAAAATACCTGCTTGCTTGCTTATACTTTGTTCCCTTTTACAGATTATGAGTCTGGATTAGGCCAGTGCACAAAAGTAAGCAAAACTGGGTTCTTCTTCCCTGAAGTCACCAGATGTTGCTAGGGAGAAGTTCGGTGTCTTTTTGATGGCATTTAAATACATGGCTTTAAATATATTTTATCTGCACACACAAATGCATGAATTACAGAATTTATAATAAAGCCTATGCATTCTGCCCTTTGATCCTGAATTAGCCTGCTAAGTATCTGTGTCTTAAAAGCCTTTATGTCCATTCCTGTATGTTTTTTGTAAGTACCTGTGTACTAACATTTTTCTGATGACTTGTTCATGTACTTCACCAGTCTACTCTATTGGCCTTTTCTGAGTTTTAGCATAATTTTATTTTTTAAAATCTTGTAATTTCTTGAAATATTTTTTCCTAAGTCTGTAATTTGGAAAGAACGATCGGGAAAAACACTCATCCTGTGTTTTGGCAGCAAGAGTTTCTTGTCTGTAACACATGATTCTGTTACATATGGACTATTTAAAGCTTGCTTGAAAAGAAAATGTGGTGTATAATTTATTTTATTAACTCTTGCACATGCTGTGTAGCAATAGTTGTTGACAAACTGTTCCTACCACTCTTACTATATTCACCTCTCTTCATCACCATCTAGGACATCCAGGGATTTGTAAATAGCTACAAAACATGTTTTTCCCCTGGTGCCTCCCCACCTGAATCCTGCCCATAAAAAAGAGTTCTGAAAGAACTTGATCAACTCTCATCTTCCCACTAACCGGTCAAGCTGAGATGTGTAGCAATTAACTGAAAGTTTTAATTTAACCTTGATTGCAGAAGAACTGTAAATTGTGCCATATAAGCATTCCTACTACCTTCTGTTTATGTCTACATGGAACAGAAGTTTTCAGAGCATTTTATTTCTTTCTGATAGGAATAGGTTTATTGATTCTCTAATATGTCTGTTTCATCAGTCATTTCAAGTAATTACTTTTCTAAAGCACATAAACCTCCAAGATCTTAAAAAAAAAAAAAAAAAGAAGAAAGAAAAAAAAAAGGAAAAATAAGAAGAAAAAGCGGCAACAATATTGCAGAGAAAGTTTTATTGGCCAAAACCAAAAAATTGAAACCTAAAAAGTGGATAAGCTTTGTTTTGCAGTAGGATGTGACTGACCAGTGAGTACTCTTTTAGAAATGGTGTATTCCTCTAGCAACATTGGTAGTTTCATTTGATACTATGATACAGACAACTGAGAAATCCATAGGGTACAGTTTTCTGAACAATTTTGCCTCAGTGTTTCTATAGTGTTGATGCCATGGGTCAGCTATTGGAATGGACTGTATTGTACCATAGCTGAACCACCTTTCCAGAAGTCTTTTGTCAGTTTGCAGTCAACAGAGAGCTCCTTTTATGCCAGGCATGGTTAAAAACCAGTAAATGGGGATTGCCAGTGCCTGTCTCAATGGGTACATGAAACTGTCTTGGCAACAGCTGTCACTGGTAATGGCAACAGCAGGAGCTCAGGGCTGAGCGGGTGCAGAGGTGGAGGATGCATCAGGCTGCTTCCAGTGCCTCGTGCAGTGCAAGCACAGTGAGAAGAGAGGAACTCTGCCTTTATTCTAGGGGGAAGAAAATTATGTTTTTACAATGTGCTGTGTATCCAGCTCGTTCTACTGCTATGCTGTTATAGCTGAGGAAGCTGAGGCTGGGGGAAGGTACTGGTTTCATGAGCATTCTCAGAAACTGATGCAAAAAAACCCCCCAAACCTGACTGATCTATACATTTAGAAAAAATGTTTAATGGGGACACTCGGGACCTGGAATGGCTAAAGAGGACCTGCCATCTCCTTCCCTTTACCCTGCTGAAATCCAGAAGGGACAGTCACATCCTGAGGGGCTGGTACTAGTAACAGCGGCTGGTGACAGGGAGATAAAAATGAACACGACATTCCAGGCTCCTATCTCCTCTATGAGGAAGAGAAGCCACCCGTGAACTCCGGGGCTGCCGAACGGCCCGAGCCCCGCGGACGGGGCAGGACGGCCTCTCCCGGTGCGGCAGAGGCAGGGGGAGCGGGACTGGGATGGGAAGCGGGACTGGGAGCGGGACTGGGATGGGGAGCGGGACTGGGATGGGGAGCGGGGGCCGGGCGGGCTCTGCCCGGGGGCGGCCCATCTGGGGAGGGCAGCGCGCTCCCTCCTGCGGATCCCGAGCGCCAGCGGGAAGCTGGTTTCCCTGAAGAATCGCTATTGGTGGGCCCCACGCCATCCTCCTTGCTTAGAGTCGTCTGGAACTGGACAAAGTGCGGTCTGAGCAGAGCTCTTCAGTGTTTGAAGTGCCACCACTACCACAGCTAAAAGAGAGAATGGAAAGGCAGAGGAGGGAAATGCCTCTGAATGACTTGAGACCTCTGGTGACAGAAATGCCCAGTGATACAGTGCACCTGACCAAGCATCACTCATCAGATATTAACTCAAGAATCCTTCCCCAGGCATAAGAAGGGCCGTTGTATTTCATACCACAGGTTTGTCTTTATTGAAATCACCAGCATGTATCAAAACCATCAAGTTTCCTTGACTCAGCTCCTGATGAGGGCAGCAAGTCTTTGTACGGAAACACCCAATGACTCCGGGAAGACAGGAAGGACAGCAATGCTTAAATTGGTAAAGTCACAGAATTACCCTCTCACTCTTAGAAAATAATCAGTCCTATCAAAGCTTATTTAAGGATAAATATTGGAATTTTGCAATATATTTCTGTTTAGTATATAAATATCTAGAGTCACTATTCTATTGCCTTTGCCACATGGACAGCCAGCTGAAGATTAGTTGTATAGTGCTTGATCTTCTCTTTGGGTTAAAATGTTGATATGTTCTTCACTGCCTCTTTTCAAAGGAAAAAAATAAACAGTGGAGTGATTGGGAGAAATGCAGAAATCAAATGTTCTTGCATTTTAAATTTTAAAAGTTCTTGCAATTGCTAAGTGGGTGCTTTTGTCCAGCTTCAAAATCTG